GAGGTTGTTGCATGTCTTTTTGTCCATTTCAAAGTGTTTTTATTGCCATTCTCTATAAGTAAAGTTTTTAAAATTATACCGTCGGCATATTTTATTGTAACACCTGTTTAAGTTTAATTAGTACTTTTTGTTCTTTTAAACACCTTCCCCCTTTTTAAAATACACTTTTTTTTCAATAGCTTCAAATCATTCTGGCAAGATTTTTTTTTTCTGTCTGAATTTCTAGGCTGAGGAATTTACATTCGGACTTGTATCGTCATCTTTGTTATTATCACAACTTTTTAGGCCGTTGTATTCTCCGGTCTTCAGGTGTTTGTCGATTCAGATAACTTTCAGGGAATTTCAAATTGAACCTCTTATTTATGGGGTAGATTGTTTCATTAAGCTGTCCATGTCTAGGGATATCTCGTTGTTTTCAGTATTGCTCGCCCTGTTCCCACCGACTCCGAGTCTGTAATACCCGGTCCAGAGATTGAACTCACAATTACTATGCTAATAAATTCACAACTCAACGGTTTAATCCACTACGCTATTTCATTAAAAGTCAACAAAAATATGAAACTAGAAAAAGTAATTAAAAAAAAAAAAAAAAAAAAACATGAAAATATTTTTTATAATAATTTATCGGTGGTATTGATCGATTTTTAAATTCTACCCTCATCGTCGGAGTACATGTAATTCTTTCGAATAAATTCGTTTCTAATAAAAAAAAAATTATAAATAATAAGTCGGCCTTTACAATATAATTCATGAAATTATATTACATAATACAGTGTAACCCGGATATAAGAGAGTTGTCGGGACCGGAGAAGAAGTCTCTTATATCCGGGTTTCTCTTATATCCGGGTTTGGTCTATTTTGTTTAGGTAAGTATGGGAACACTTTGGGACCAGAGAAAATCTCTCTTATATCCGGGTCTCTTATATCCGGGTTACACTGTAACAAAAAAACAACTCTGAAAACTGCAACGTTTGTATCGTATTGTCTTATTTTACGACAATTAGTGAATTTACAAACTCCAGAAATGCATCAAGAAAACAAAAAGGAGTAAAACCATTTCTCAGTATTTTTGTCTTTTTTTTTATTTGCATAATTGATCATTTATAAATTTACTTATCAAAAGTATGACACAAATGAATAAAAAGCTATCCGCTTACGTTGGAACTTCACTCAAACTTTCACAAAGAATGTCAAAAAAAAAAAAATCCTGAAAGTAATACTACCTGTCTAGACTCTATGATTGTCTATCTGTCTCTATTGCTCTAGACTCTATGATTGTCTATAAATTGTCTCTATCGCTCTACACTCTGATTGTCTATAAATTGTCTCTATCGCTCTACGCTCTATGATTGTCTATAATCTGTCTCTATCGCTCTACGCTCTATGATTGTCTATAATCTGTCTCTATCGCTTACGCTCTATTTTGAGCTCCAAAGGTCTCATCGTTCTACGACTATGATTGTCTATAATCTGTCTCAATCACTTTCTATAATCATTTTACTAGCTTTTTGAGTTTAAGGATATCACCTGTCATCAGGTGTCACGCTTCTAGTTTAGTTTCATATCACCTGTCATGCAGGTGTCACGCTTTTTCAAAACATTCGACAACGTGTGTGGTTAATAGAACATAGCACAGTCACACTATAGCAAGGCATTTTAGTTGTCGTTAAAGACTTCGGTGAACAATTTATTATTTTTTTTTAAAAATGGAGGTATTAAAAATCAGTTGTTCTGATTGTCGCAGTTACTGCCTTCTTAGTTTATTTATTCGTAATATCCCAAATCGTAAAAAAAATTACTGTCTTCCAGAGAAAATGAATTCTGAGTGCTTTCACCAGAAATATAAAAAAAAATAATTTTTCCTTTTCGAAACAACTATCGTATGAAGCAATACCAAATTTAAAAAAAAAAAACGAATTTTCTTAATTTTTTTTAAAGCAGAAAAAAAACATCAAACTTAGTTTTTTTGTGTGTGTGTGTGCAACTATCGATAAGTTAATGAATTTTATAAATGTAACTGAATGAGCCAACTTTAGTTTGAACATAAGAAATTAAAGCAAAATTCCGGTTTAAAAGGTTCTAAGAGTGTGCGAAAGTTTCCAGTGAAATACCCGTTTTGGTTTGTACTGAGTTAAAGAAAAATGCTGTGAATATTTCAACACTTCTATATTTTACCCATCTACGCAGAAAGATGGGCACAAAGTTTGTTTTTTTTGTTTGTTTTTTTTTTTTTTTTTTTAGATGTTCTTTTACTATGTACATAAATCCCTCTGTAAAATTTGCATCAAAAGATTTCAGTTTCAGGATGGAATATAACGTAAAAAGAATGCTGGTTAAATTTCACTAAATGACTCAACATAGATAGATAGATATATAGTGTGTGTGTGTGATATTGTATTAAAGAAGGATAAAAAAAAGTGTCTCGATGAAATTGGTTTTCATGATGACCGAAGATACCTTCCGTCGATCAATAGTCTTTTTTCATCCACCCGTGTTTTATTATTAGATTATCCCAAGATGATGTGCTTCCATACTTGTTTGGAGTTGATTGTAATGTTACTGCTAGTATTTAGTGAAGATAGGTAGTGGCTCGTCTGACAGAAATGTTGGGACATTACTTCTGAAAATGAATATTAGAATTTAATCTGGATATTTAGCCGTTGGAGTAAAATATTTTTGTATCAGTTTTTGGAGATTTTTGATACATTCGCATACATGTAAAATTTCACAGTATCTTTAAAAGTACTTGCTGATTTCTAAAATCCCTGAAGAGCTGGAAAATGAATAGGAGTCTAATTAAATATGAACGAATACTGGAATTAACAGTCATAACGATATTTGATTAATATTACTACTTCGAAAGGAAGGATTTTAAAGTGTTGTTCTGTAGTGTATTAGCTTTTTACCTGATACACACCTTTAGGATTTTTTACAACTCATCACTATTACAACCGATTTTTGACTTGTAAAATCAATGACATCACAGATTTCAACTTCCTTATACTATTTGGTAATTGTTACTAATATAACCTATTGTTTAAATTCCAAAATGAAGCAATAAGGAAAATATAAATCTTTTAAAAGGTGGTTCTAGTAGTATGTCTATGTAATAGTGTTTCTTAGACGCTATCCAAAAGCTTCAACCTCATGTTGTTGAATATTCTAAGCTAGAAAATTGCAGCCCGTCGAATTTTAATTTTGAGCATAGCCCCTTTTTTTTCCAAACGGATTATGCAATCCCTACAGTACCCAGAATAAATAAGTCAATTCCTGTCTCTCGTAGTCGTAATATTTTTAGATATAAGCCATAACCTACGTTTCGTTTATAAATATTCGCCCAGAAAAATAAAGACAGTTTATTGTCAAAAAAGAAAAAAAAAGTGATATTTCTTTAACTGAGCTGCAAGCATCTGTAATGTCTGAAAATGCTTTTGCTATTTGGTACCGTTTCGAATTTCGTTTGGTGACGAACTAGACTTTTTTTTTTTCTTAATCGATATGATACTGGTCGTAAACTTTTAATCTAATATATATATATATATATATATATATATATATATATATATATATATATAATCTAGAAAGTCGGTTTTATCTACATCTTACAAGTTTAAGTGACATCTTACAGAGATGTATGGTTAACAACTTGTAACCATACATCTGTTAACTTAACAGGTTGGTCATACAGATCATTACAACTGAGCAGTTAGTTCAGTTCACGTTGGGCTCAATTGTAATCTCCATGTGTCAAAACTAAACCACACTTAGTAAATATCCATTTATCTCTTTCTGTGTAAATAAGCTTTTTCCTTCTTTTAAGATTTTTCTCTCAAAGATACGAAAGAAAAAGACTGTTAGTGTCTGTCTACCCTTAAATTTATGATGCCAGAAGAAGAGTATGTTAACTTGAAATCGAATGTTTTTTTTTTTTTGTTTTTTTTCGACATTCCCTTCATTAATTTCAATATGCAATTTTAAAAAAATCAATAATTTTAACTGAATTGCATTTTTACCTTAACGTAGCTATTGAAATGTTATCTTTATGGGGTGGGGGGAAATAGTTATCGTGCCTCAACGGTGAAATGATTAACAAACTGATCCACCGATTCGGAGTACGTGGTTTCGATTCTCATTGTACTGAGTTTGGTTCAAATGGAACAATTTACGAACGATACATTTGATAATCACTGTCTTGTCGGAGTATGGGGTCTTGCTGCGTGTAAAGACATTTTCCACTAGTATTTGAGTCATTGGTTTTTGACATCAGACATTTGTCACGACAAAAACAAGTCGTAAGACACTTTAAATTATATTAGATCAAAAGTAAAATGATACATTTCTGCTTTTAAGGTTAGTTTATGATTACTTGAGATTATTTATTTATTTTATGATAAAATATAAAATTAAATCTATGACTAAACGGGGATGTGAGAACCTCTTAGACTTGGATTTGCTGAGTGACCCATACTTGTGGCTTCGTGCTGAAACTAAGCTGCGTTTAGTAGATAGCATCCCATCGCATTGTAACGGTTAACGAACTAATCTAGCAGATCATTTACTACTATAAAGTGAGATTGATCCTCACCGGGTACCTCATGCTTATGGCCTTGTACCGAAACTAAGCTCAGCCTATTATTTTCTAGCAAGATTATATCGACAGTTGCGAAGTGCACTGTGGATACAGCACAACAAAAGATTGAAAGAAGACAGTTTCGATTGAACTGCTGATCTGAAATGATTAGGTAGGCTCATTGCTACAACAAACTTGGGACAAAAAATATTTAGTTTGCAATTCTATGCAACGACCAGTTTCAGTGAAATAAATGAGAAAATAAATAACAGACTGATTATCGTACAAATCCAATCGACGGGGTGGGTGATCAAGTAACTGAGTACAATTATATCCACCCCACCACTATTCTCACTCTTTTGCTTCTTTTTTTCTCTCACTCTCTTTTCGCTCCGTTATTTTTTCTCTCGCTCTCTTTTCGCCCCGTTAGTTTCTTTACCTCTTTTCGCTTCGTTATTTTCCTTTTGCTGGTTTCAGTCAATTTATCTCCTTTCGCTGGTTTCTCTCCGTCTCTCTCACTCCTTTTTTTTCCTTTCCGTCTCTCTCCTCCTTTCTCGTTTCTCTCCATCTTCTCTCCCCTTTCTCCTCTCCGTCTCTCTCACTCCTTTCGCTCGTTTCTCTCCGTCTCTCTCACTCCTTTCGCTCGTTTCTCTCCGTCTCTCCTCTCTCTCTCTCCTCCTTTCGCTCCTCTCTCTTCGCTCGTTTCTCTCCGTCTCTCTCACTCCTTTCGCTCGTTTCTCTCCGTCTCTCTCACTCCTTTCGCTCGTTTCTCTCCGTCTCTCTCACTCCTTTCGCTCGTTTCTCTCCGTCTCTCTCACTCCTTTCGCTCATTTCTCTCCCATCTCTCCGTCTTTCTCTCCGTCTCTCTTTTTCGCTCATTTCTCTCTCTCTCTCCCTTTTCGCTCATTTCTCTCCATCTCTCTCCTTTTCGCTCATTTCTCTCCATTCTCTCCTCCCTTTCTCATTTCTCTCTCTCTCTCCTCCCTTTCGCTCATTTCTCTCCGTCTCTCTTTTCGCTCATTTCTCTCCGTCTCTCTCTCCTTTCATCATTTCTCTCCATCTCTCTTTCCTTTCTCATTTCTCTCCATCTCTCTCTCCCTTTCCTTCTCCATCTCTCTCTCTTTTTTTCCATCTCTCTCTCCCTCCATTTCTCTCCGTCTCTCTCCTCCTTTCGCTCTTTTTTTCTCTCCTCCCTTTCGCTCATTTCTCTCTCTCTCCCTTTTTCGCTCATTCTCTTTTTCCTCCTTTTCTCTTTCTCTCTCTCTCCTTTTCGCTCTTTTCTCTCTCTCCCTTTGGCTCTCCATTCTCTCTCTCTTTCTCCTTCTCTCTCCTTTTCGCTCTTTCTCTCTCTCTCCTTTTCGGCTCTTTTTTTTTCTCTCTCTCTCTCTCTCCTCCTCTTGGCTCTTTTTTTTCTCTCTCTCTCTCCCTTTGGCTCTTTTTCTCTCTCTCTCTCTCTCCTTTTTCTCTTTTCTCTTTTTTCTCTCTCTCTCTCTCCTTTGGCTCTTTTTTTCTCTCTCTCTCTCTCCTTTGGCTCTTTTTCTCTCTCTCTCTCTCTCCTTTTTTTCTCTCTCTCTCTCCTTTGGCTCTTTTTCTCTCTCTCTCCTTTGGCTCTTTTTCTCTCTCTCTCCTTTGGCTCTTTTTCTCTCTCTCTCCTTTGGCTCTTTTTCTCTCTCTCTCTCTCTCTCCTTTGGCTCTTTTTTCTCTCTCTCTCTCTCCTTTGGCTCTTTTTTCTCTCTCTCTCTCTCCTTTGGCTCTTTTTCTCTCTCTCTCTCTCTCTTTTGGCTCTTTTTTTTTCTCTCTCTCTCTCCTTTGGCTCTTTTTTTTTCTCTCTCTCTCTCCTTTGGCTCTTTTTTTTTTCTCTCTCTCTCTTTGGCTCTTTTTATTTCTCTCTCTCCTTTGGCTCTTTTTATTTCTCTCTCTCTCCTTTGGCTCTTTTTTTATTTCTCTCTCTCTCCTTTGGCTCTTTTTTTATTTCTCTCTCTCTCCTTTGGCTCTTTTTTTTCTTTCTCTCTCTCTCTTTTTTATTTCTCTCTCTTCTCCTTTGGCTCTTTTTTTTATTTCTCTCTCTCTCCTTTGGCTCTTTTTTATTTCTCTCTCTCTCTCTCCTTTTGGCTCTTTTTATTTTTCTCTCTCTCTCTCTCCTTTGGCTCTTTTTTATTTCTCTCTCTCTCTCTCTCTCCTTTGGCTCGTTTTTTTTTCTCTCTCCTTCTCTCTCTCCTTTGGCTCTTTTTTATTTCTCTCTCTCTCTCCTTTGGCTCTTTTTTATTTCTCTCTCTCTCCTTTTTGGCTCTTTTTCTCTCTCTCTCTCTCCTTTGGCTCTTTTCTCTCTCTCTCTCTCTCCTTTGGCCTCTCTCTCTCTCTCCTTTGGCTCTTTTCTCTCTCTCTCTCTCTCCTTTGGCTCTTTTCTCTCTTTCTCTCTCTCCTTTGGCTTTTTCTCTCTCTCTCTCTCCTTTGGCTCTTTTCTCTCTCTCTCCTTTGGCTTTTCTCTTCTCTCTCTCTCCTTTGGCTCTTTTCTCTCTCTCTCTCTTTTTGGCTCTTTTCTCTCTCTCTCTCATTTTGGCTCTTTTCTCTCTCTCTCTCATTTGGCTCTTTTTCTCTCTTTTTCTCTCTCTCATTTGGCTCTTTCTCTCTCTTTTTCTCTCTCTCATTTGGCTCTTTTTTTCTCTCTCTCTCCTTTATCTCCCTTTCTCTTTCTTATCCTCTCTCTCTCTTTCCGTCCTTTTCTATCCTCTCTTTCTGTCTTTCCGTCTTTTCTATCCTCTCTTTCTGTCTTTCCGTCCTTTTCTATCCTCTCTCTCTCTCTCTCTCTACCTAATTACGAAGCTTGTCTTAGTTTTAAACAATGTTACTAGCACTGAGCACCCATTTTCTATTACAAGATATGTTTTTGGAGCTTCCTGTATCATAGCATACATACATGTGTATAAGAAAGTGATTGGAAATAGATAAATTAAAGGGACCTATAATTATCGAATAATGATTTTATTTTTAGTCTATCAATGATAAAACTCACAATCCAGTGTTATATGTGTCAAAATCGGTGTGGAGTGTAGGCTAAAATTTGCATTTTGTTGTACCTTAACCAGAAGTCACCACCGCCAGTCGGTTGGCCAGGCGATCGTGAATTCAGTAAAGAAATATAGTTGATACTTTTGTCATACGATCAAGAATGTAGTCATGGAAGAAGACGGAATAATTTTCGACAAAATATGTTCATTATTACATAATCTTCAAAAGGAATATACTTTCAATAAATGACTAATGTAGTGTGAATTTGATTTTTTATTATTATTATTTTTTTAAAATCTTACCGATTACATTATTTTCATTTTTTTTTTATTTATTTATTTCTTTTTTTTAATTCTATCTCATCCACCCCGCTTAATGGTAGGTGTAATTCAACCAGACGTCACGTGGCACGAGACGGTGGGGGAGTGTGCTTTAAATCAGACTTCTTGTTTATCTTCTAAAAACAATTCGCTTATCGTTGTGATTATGTCCATTTTCAATTTTGCGACTATTGTTTGAAACTAGATTCATAAAAACGCATAAAGAAATAATTTCTATGGACGAATGAATCCTGATTATTTCCGTTTCTCTTTATTATATTTTTTAAGCTTTTTCTTCTTTCTCTCTCATATATACACGAAATAAAGATAAACTGTGGATTTAAAATCAACATTGCATGGTAACAGTCAGTTTCACGTCTTAAGCGCTCGCCAAATTATGTGGTACTACTACTACACAAAGAAAGCTACCACATGGTTTAATAACCACTTAATATGTGAAACTACAGATCACTGTGTCATGTTGGTTTCTATATACCCACTGTTTATATTTACAAACGATCTATCCTTAATACTGTGTATTTTACCTCATATATATATATATATATATATATATATATATATATATATATATATATATATATATATATAAAACACACACACACACTTATGAGTTAGAAGTTGAAATTTCTTGGCTTTAACAAGAACGAATTAAAAATGTTCATTAGATTTTTATAAGTGAATCGAACCAAGAATTTTTCATAGTAATATTCAAAATTTAGTAATTAGAATAGCTATGTATAGAGATTTGGAAGAACATTAAAAGGCAACACAAAAAGTAAACGGGCATATCAAAAATGTATTGTCTCGGAGAAAGACCTCTAAAATAAGATTAAATATTGCGGATGTAGTAGAAAACAAATAATGAGGTAAAAAGAATTTTCAGCCTATCGCTTCTAGTTTTAGTTTTAAGAAATTTTCGAGTTTATATCCGCTGAAAATAAAGATAGATACGAGCCTTTGCAACTAGTCATTGTTAGTCAACTCAAAAGCCAATTTTTCTACACAAAGTGGATTATATAATCTAAAGAGGTAAGCAAAGCCAAGCGGTTAGGGATCTAAAAAATTAATCGACTATTGAAACTATAATGCTAGCTTCTATAGGTTTACGCATTTGCTTCCTTTTTACCAGTGAACTATAGATAATGAAATTTACAAGAATTTATGAACTTTCTTCATATCAGACACATGTTCATTTCTATGGACATTTCAGATAAGACTGTTTATTATGCATCCACAGAAAAGCAACTTACGCCTTTACATACTGAAACTTTATTGTAGAAATATAAATAAACATTTTTAAATTTACTATAGTATTGGAAGAATATCTACTATATTAATTTTGACTGACGAATTACTAACACCGCTATATATGATAAAATATAGTTTTAAGGCATGTTTATGGATTAAAGTGTTCAATATCAGGGATAGAGCGTATGTAAATATAGAAGTGGACATTGAAGTCAACACCCAGGGGCGACAGTCTGTTTCATGCTAAACGCACTCGTCAAACACATGGCCTGACGTCTGCGTTTAGCATGAAACAGACTATCACCTCTAGGTGTTGACTTCATTGTCCACTATATATATATATATATATATATATATATATATATATATATATATAAAGGGGAAGATAGATGATTAAAATTTTCTACATTTATGGTGAATGAGCGTGAAGATTTAGTTATAGACAGTGTGGACATAGAAACCAACACTGCATGGTGACTGCAAGTTTTACGACTGCAGATAACTTGGGCTGAATTTCGCTTTACTTGAATTAAAATTGACAGTCACTATGTTGATTTCTATGTCTACACTGTCTATATATTATATAGACGCACGATTGATGTAGGCGTTTGAGTCGAGATTAAGATTTCAAATGTTATTTTTCAATGTAGGCAGCTTCCCATTTTAGAAGACTGGCACTGTGTCCCCTGTCTGCTTGTCTAGGAATACGTTCTTTCCTTTACACTTTGAGGTATCCGCGTCATGTGCTTTCACAACACATGTTCTCTGTATAGATGTAGGCCTCTGTTTTAGTTCAATTTGCCAACCTCCTTATTCGTCTTTCTCCATCTTTGCAGAGAGCTCTTCATCTTTATTGTTTCCGATGTCTTTTTCCTCACTTCTCACTCTTTTCTTTTCTTTTTTTCAATACTTCTACTAATTTGTCTTTATATTCTTTTCAGCTCCTCCACCCTCTTTCTTGCTCGTTTCGTCATCTAAACTTCCAAATCGTTTTATCTACCTTTCGATCGTGTGACATTATATACTCCAGCAATTAATAATAATAAATAAAAACAACCACGCCATCACTACAACTGCACGACTTTCTATGCCCTATAGACGAAGCTATCTTTCGCCGCTGTTGTCGTGTCTGCTATCGTTTTCTTGACTGTCTTTTCTCGCTATTTCTCGTTTGTTCACGTTCACATTTGATGATGCTTGTGTTTTATACGTTCAATCGATCTGTGGGCGTCGCAGTGTCTGTGTCAGTGTTTGTATAAATAACAAGAGTGTTAAGTTCGACTAATAACATGTGTCTCGTGAATGTATGCTGTACTGATATCACCTTAAACACACACACACACACACACACACACACACACACACACACGCACACAAGCATGCATACACGCGCGTACAAATCTCTGCAGGGTCGACAAAAGCCTCATTACGAGTTTATATTGATTAACCATTTATCCTCCTGTGATGTCTAGATTTTACAAGCATATAGGATTTTAAAAATATTCATTACCTAAAAAAATACCTATTTAAAGACTGAATTTTATAACGGTCCTGTTTTCAAAGTATATTTCCCAAATAATATACAGCAGTTGAGCACGGAATTTGATTACTGATTTCATGATAAATTTGAGTGCTTAATTTTGAGAAACTAATGAGAACAACTACACTAGTTGTTCCCTGTATGGGATTACCCCACTTGTCTGCCAAGGAACTTCTAAGGACCGCTAGTTAGTCTTAGCTAAAACATTACATAAGGGTACAAATTCTCTGTCTAGTAGGGCCCAAGACATGTCTTGTTTACCCTTCATGGAACTTCTTAATCCCCAACGAACCACGTGTTTCATTGTACACAATATAGCATAAAAAATATAGCATAAAAAAAAATTACCTAAGTTGATAACTACCAAACCAACTAGATATTCTTCTCTGGTGCAAGTCTTTCAACATCTTCAATAGGACTTTATAGACACCGTACTTGCGAATAAAGACATACATACTTACTTCCTTTTATATCCTTCCTATTTAGTTTTGTTAAGGTAATAACATTTTGTTGTTATACGTAGAATATTGTTTCTAATTTCGCTTTTATCTCCTGTTCGAGAAGACATCATATGACACGATAATACTGTCACTAAACTATTTCTCTAACATAAATATACATTCTATCATTAGATATCCTTACTCAATAAGTGGCTTTAAATCTTCATTACTCACGGAGACGTTTTAAGGAAAACGAGAACGAAAATAACACTTGTTTAGGATAAAAAAAAAGAGAGTTGAAATTTAAGGGAGATATAGTAATTCTTTCTTTTTTTGGTGGGGGGGGGTCAAGATTTGCCCATAGCTTGGTCTCTAACAGGTGCTACCACCCCAAGTCAGTGTGAACCTGGGAACGACAGCAATTAAGAGGTGTTTCCACGCTAATCAAAACCTCCCGATCATAGACCTTACTATCGGATGTAGTTTGTCATACCCAGAACACAATAAAAAATAATTATAAAATGCGCTGTTTATCATTTTTTTTTTTACTGCTTAAAATATTTACTGCAAAATATGGTTAAAATATGAAGTAACATTAAAACTAGTAAGCGGATGTAAGAAAAGCTGAGATCTTTCTTACATATCCTTCTTAAGTACCATGTTCCTTTAAGATATTGATTATGGATCCTCATCCTTTTATTTTCATATCAACTGACATTGTATTGTTGTGGTTGTTCTTGATGGCATATTGGAGGGGGGGGAATAGTGGAGTGGTTTCTCGTTGCCGTCTACGTAGCTTTTAATTGAATTCGCCTTTTCCTTAACTGGTTTTCAACCAACACTAGAGATCCTATCCTGCTCTGCGATTTCACTGATAGCTAGGAGAGTAAGTATTCGTATATTTCTATCAGAGTGCACAGAAACGATTTCAGTTGGAATATGAAATCGGGTCATTGATTCCATTTTCTGTGTCGATAATCATTACGCCATTCCGTATCTCTTTTAAGCAGAGTGTATTTGTATGCAGTTTCATTGTCATAATTTACTATGTCAGCATGAAAGTTTGTATGTAATTGTTCAATAAATCTTAACCAGTTTGAAACTATGATTTTTTTTTTTTTTTTTTACACAAATATATTGCTGGTAAATTTTTTTACTATGAAAATGTATCGTTAGCATTTTTACTATAAAAATGTATTTTGACACCATTTTAGGGAGTTAACTATTTGCCCATAGTTGGGAATCTGCCATCCTGGGTCAGGGTGAAACTGGAAACAACAGCCATTAAGAACATGCTTTTCAAAACCTCCTGATCAGAGGCCTTGCTGCCGGATATAGCTTATCATCATACCCAGGACACGATCCATACTACCATGTGTAGCCCGTATTATTGTAATTCGCCGATCATTTAAAAAAACGCCACCTCTTGATAATCATTAAACCCCCAAAACATTAACTCTTGACTTACAGCTATAATTGAGTAATACAATAATGTTATATTTTACAATAAAACGTTTTCATTTTTGTTTTTATTTTTTCTAGTGGGGAACTGGAAATTATTTTATTCAAAATTAAGCTTTAACTTTGAACTCCTGCTGCCAAGATCATGCCGAAAGCCTCTACCAGAGCATAGTTTTTCTCTCATTTCATTCAACATGCTTATTAAAAGGCAACGATACCAACTTCAAATAAGATAGGTTTTTCATGTTTCAAAATAAACATGAAACTTTTTTAATAATTTCACCCCCAAGCAAGACAATGCCACTACTAAAATGTAAGGAGTTACTGAATGTGAAAGAATGAGAAAAAGAAAACCTTATTAAGGAGAGAGAACAATAAAAGAACAGGAATTAAGAAGGCAGATGATAACGATTGATGTTGCATTTAAATTTTTGAAGATCAAAGATCAAAAGTCCGGAAAAAGAGTTCTACAAGCGAGAAGTGCTAGAGAAGAAACTTTTAGCATAGAATTTATGGATATATATCTCTAGCCATTTTAACTGTAAAATGATGAGACCTATCTGCTAATCTAGTACTGCACTTAAATTCGTAAAGTAGAAGTAACAAAGAGTGAAAAAAAAAATCAGTGAATTCACTTTGTAATTTCGTAAAGCAAACGTCATTAGCATAATGATGCAATCCTCCACCATATTATTATTTTTCGATTAGTTAAAAAAAAAAAAGAATCAAAATTCTCTTAATCAGTTTTATGTTGTTCAGTTAGTGGTAGAATTCTGAATCAAAAATAACATATACGATGCCTCTTCTTATTCATTGAAAATCATTTATGAAATAAAAGTGAAAGTTTTTCAAACACAAAAGCACTTAGATTTTGGGTTTTTTTTTTTTTTTTACAAGTAATAACTCATATTCATTAAAGTTATTATCCTTCTTTTCTTTTAACACTTTAGGGAAAAATCGTCTGTTGGCGACAAAGAAAACATACCTGGTTCAATTAATTCACCTTTTTTAGTCATTTTCTCATTCTGTCAAATAGTAGACGACATTATCATTATAGTTTTGTTTTTCATCATTCATTTATTTACAATCCTCTGCTACTCTTTGTCTCGCTAAGTTAACGTAGAATTATTTGTCGTATAGATAGAATTTGTTGCGGAACGTAAATAATTGTTTTACAACTCCTGGTATAGTTTGTGCCGCAAAACTTTTGCAGACTCCTGCGAGTCCGGGTAAAAAAAAAAGACACACGACATGGAATTTGAACAAACAGCAATTGATAAATGTATTATTAACAAACATGTTCACCTAAAAGTAAGGAAAGAAATGAACTTCATTATTCTCTTCACTCAAAGAAATCACATGTTGTCAATCAAAAATCAAAGGTAAAAAAGCGCGATCCTTTCAAAAATCGCAACGCCTGTAATTTTTGTCAAGGGTGATAATGAAACAAAACACAGAAAATTTACTGATTAATCATTAATGAAAAAAATACCTAGACTGACTTAATTTTGATAAAAGAACAATAAAACGAGCCAATCAAAATGATATTTTTTACATAAAATTAATTATATATAATTAAAAAAAACGAACAAACTTAGTTTTTGTACTGAACTGAAAATTAGTCTTGGAAGAAGAGTTACTTATAAGTCAAGATTATTTTAGTAAATGAATCAATTTTTCATTAACTGGGTTAAGTTTCTTCTCTATCGATCCCACAGATTCGACGGTTTGTGTTGTAGGGAGGTAAATCAATATTGGCGTTTTCATCGTATAAACAAAGATATATATTCGCAAATAAAATGGAGTACTTTTCAAGCAAGAGAAAGGTTATGTTCTGAAAATGTCTTGTTTAGTTTACTTTATTTTAATATAGCAAAATAAATAAAATAATAAATGTTGTTTTCTTTATCATACATTGAGAAACATTTTTCATTTGAAAAGCCAATAATTTTCACTTTTTTCAAGTTTCATTTTTTTTTTATTAGCATGTCCTGACAAATCTAAACTTTTGAAAATTAATGTTTAGCTGAAATTTCTTTTTGTCTTTATGTATTTATTTTTTATTTTATTTTAAAAAGGTTATGTCTTAACATTTTCATTTCATTTTATGAGATACATAACTAATTTTATATTTTGGAGGGATTAAAATCATGTGCGAAAAGATTGGGATAAGCTGTCACTGATTTACATCGAATCAGTCAACCATTTTTCAATTCTAACAAACTTATTTACATTTCGAATAGCCATAAGTGATTTAACAAGCAATGAAACGAGATAGGCTGATTGCTACGTAATTGAAATCAATAATAGTAATTATTTTTAAATCATTTTGTAACTTGAAAATCAATAACTGTCCTTAAGAGTCTAGCCTCAAATAATTATTCAAAATTTTGACACGTAGTATTGCCTGTTGTGTTGGAATTTTTGTGTTTAATCTGAAATAGTCACTTTTTAAAAACAGACAAAAAAAAAAAAAATAAAATCAATATGGACAAGAAAAAACATTTTTTTAGTTAAATGTTTTAAGACTTTTTTTAAGTGAAAAGTAGAAGTAAAACATAAGTCTTTTTCTTTTTAGTCTATTACTCACCAACAACGTCTTTTTTATGATGTTTCAGAAAAAATAATTTTATTGTTACCTACAAAAAAACAAAATAAAAACAGATATGTCGGTCATTTATTGACAATGCATGACATACACATTCAACACCTTAAATGTCATTGCATTAGGTTGCCAGATAAATTCATTCAGTTTTGTTTTGTCTTTTCAATGTTATTTGAATTAACACGAAAAATATTTTTACCGTGTTTA